TCTATGTGTGTATGTGTGGTGTGGCATGGTGTGTATCTATCTAAGAATAAATAAATTTTAAAGTACAGGGATTGAGATTAAAAATTATTGTAGAAGAAATGAATTTAGGCTGGTGTGTATGGTGTAAGTGGCTGTATGCAAATGGAAAGTTTAAGGTTTGGCTTAAATGCAAGAAATAGCAGTACACTTTCAAGTATTTGTTTCAATTGTTTTAGCACTTGAACGATTTTGATGAAACCAAGCTTGGGATGTTCTTTTAGGCGATGAAAATGACTTCTTGTAGACCAACGGTTCCGAGACAACCAAGAATCTCTCCAGTGGTGGTAGGGTATTCTTTCTATTTGCGGGTCTTGACATGCTTTCTTTTGTTGCTGAAAACTGGAAATAGTGACACACTTGCTTCACTCACTAATGAGTAATGAATAAACTTTGTAGTTCTTTATTATCATATGGATGATCTCTTTTTAAAAAGAAACACTTTCTACCTTTGGGGCTATTTTTGCAGGTTATAACAATCTTTAAATTGTGTGTAGTTGCATGTTTGTGTGTGTAGTATTTGGTGGCATATGTTCATTAAATCCTTAAAAAAATAATTCCTAATGTTTTTTCTGGTTGCATACAGTTTGTTTGTCTGAGCAATTCATCAAAGGGATAAACAACAACAAATCTACAAGGAACGGCTCAGATTATTTCTTAACAAGTGCGTTACAGTCAACTTCCACATGGTGATTTGGTGTTTTATTTAGACTAAACACATACTCCTGAAAGCATTGAATTTTGTGACAATTGGTTTTCCATAGTCTTTAAAGAAGACGAGACATAACAATTATATGTGTTAGTATTCATGCTCTGTATTTTCTTTTTTCATTTAACTGATAACATGTTCTATATTTTTCACGCTGATATATTTTTGTATATTGCCTCAATGTTGTTTTGCTGCCAACTTCTGTCAGGTCCATGTGAAGGCGACATGTGAGGAAGAAAAAATGAGGAAACAATATCCATTGTCACCTTACAATTGTGAATTGTGAGTCCTATACAAGCATTTATCTATTGGAATGTGAAACTGTGAAGAATCTCCGTCGTCTGTGTATTGGATTCTACTATCTTTCTCTCTTTCTATCAGTCTTTCTCCCTTTCGGACTTATCATATGTTGCTCTAATTTCTGTCCCCTTCAATATGTTGATCAATGAACAAATTGACTAATCTAACTATCTATGATTTTTATCTATCTGTCCAGGTAACCGCTCTCTCCGAGTATTTTGGAGTTAGAAGTATATTTTTTCCCTTTTACAAGCCCTTTTATGTTGCTATTGATTTGTGGTGAAACCAAAAAAAATACGTTAATAGTTGCTTAAGGTTCTTTTTATTAGGGTTCATGTTGCCTTGGTTCTATTTATTGAAGCACACAGGATATAAGTAGGTTTACATAAAAAGAAAAGATCCATGAGCATATTTCTGTACTAATGTTATCCTTGGTAAATGCACCTCATATCACAGATGGCGCCTGGGCTACATGCATCTCTTTCAAGTTTCATTTATTTGAAGAGCCTACTTAGCTTTAGTTTTAATATTCATGGTTGTTTGTTCTTTGTTTACATTGCTTATTTGATTAAGAAAGGGAATAAACAGGGGATTGTCTTTTAACTATTGATCAAAACTATTTTGTTTGTGAACAATGTTGACACAGGTGTCGCAAATGAGTTCTTGATGGCTCCTTTAGTCCAGTTGCAATCCTTTCTTAGTTAAGTTAACAAGTAAGATTCCTTATTTTTTCACGATGAATCTTTTTTTTCTAATTCAAACTTTTTAAAGTGTCATAGTCACCTTGTGTTGTTTTATTTATGCAACGTTTTTTGTGATCTTTTCTTAATAGAAAGATCATGTTTATGGTTTAGTTTATATAAATGGGGAAATTCATAATTTGTTAAAATAAAAAACACATGTTTGGTGAGTGTGACATAATATTTTATAATTTAAAGTGAATAAAGTTCAAAGAGTTATCAAGTAGCCTCAATATGTATAAATATGCTAAACATGTTTTGTTCATTACAAATATTTTTTATTTATCCAAAAAACATTTCTGTTAAAATATATGTTATAAATAAAGAAAACAAATAAATTGCAATATAATGATGTTCACCATTGTTCACTTTCCAATCTTGCATTTAGCCTTTTTTGTGTCAAATGTAGTAATGTACTTTTATCTTTCTCAAAGAACTACATAGCAAAGTTCATACGAAGTATGTAGTGAAATTCTTATGTCTGCCATTTTTGGTTTGTTGGATCGGCATCTGACAATGTTTGCTGTGATTTCTTTTATTATTTCTTGATGGTAATTGGATTTCCTTTTAAAGCTAATTGGTTGTTATGTTTCTGATCACATGCTCTATGTCATTAATGCCTTTATGCACTCATTATTTTATTTTACTATTATTTTTCTAAATTTCATCCTTTTTTATTTGCAGAAAACCTAAAAGCAGAATGTCACAACAAGTTTGCGTACATGCAACAACATTTTAGCAATGACACAATTAAGTTGAGCTATTAGTTCTAACTAAATTCAAGATATAGCCCCCTACTTTCATTTAATTGTGTGTTATTTATAGCATCCTACTTCCATTTCTTTATATTGCAACATTTTATTTCTATTTTTTTTCTTAAGGCATTGTAATAGAAAGAAATTAAAGTAACATGGTTTAATAAACAAATAAAAGAAAGTAAGCTGCTATTTTTTCCTTTAGTTCTTTGATTATACATTTGACGTTTTTGTTGACAATCTTTTTCAAAATATTATGTGACTTTCATTTCGTTCTTCATTTAGTAGTCACAATTTGGTTGAATATTTCAAGATTGTTTAAGGGGATCATGGCAACATGACTCACTTAATATCGGGCTTATTCAATTGATTAAGTGCTAAACAGTTTACAAAGTAAAATCTTTGAGATATGGCAACCTGGTGATAATGGATGTTCATGTTAAAAGTGCAATAAATAACAATGTAATTCTACCAAGTCATTTATTATAGCATTCCACTTCTGTTTTATTACTATTAAAAGTATATCGGGATAGCAATGCCATTCGTTGTTATAACTGAAATTCCATTTTGTTCATCTTGATAAGCATAAGCACTTTCTTTGATTTCATTTTCATTTTTTGATTCTTCATAGATATGCATTTGCCATAATTAAAATTTTTTCTTGCTTCTTCTCAATTTTAAGCATTATGATATTCCTTTCTCAAATGCATCACAGCTCCAATAAAATATGTTAACATTTAATATAATGTTTAGAAATTCTTTTTTTTATAGCAAAAACATATTTATTGAATTTTATAACAAAATCATATTTATAAATTTATAACATAAACACATTTTAATAAAAAACTGATAAATTTTTTTTTAAGTTTTATAACAAAAAAACATTTTGTTTCCTTTTCCATAAAAAAACAAATAATTTTTATAAAAGAAACATGCCTGATTTTATAAGTTTCATTAAAGAATCAAAATCAGTCTTATAGTAGAAAAAAAATGAACCCTTGACAAAAAAGTAAGTATACATACCTTATACAATGGTCAGATCGCACTCCTTTGGATTTTGAATGCATTGCATATTCTGTTTTATTGTTTATAATTTTACAACTAAAGTCACATACATAATGATCAGCCAATCATGTGTTCATATCATTTTTAAAGAATCTCAACGTTTCATTTTTAATTCTTTCTGATTTCGTTTCTACTATTATAACTCTTATTGATAATTTTTTGTGCAGTAAACTATTTGTGCAAAAACACTAATCCTATATACGAAGTAATTTCTGAAAAAAAAAAACCGCACCCGGCGCTTGGCGCTGGTAGACAGCTAGTTAATATAATCTATGAACTATATAAAATGTCTGTTCTACCTTTTTTTAATCTCTTTTTTTTTTCTTTTATTTATTTTTAATTTATATAAATATTAAAATACTTGGCCCACCATACCCCATACTCTCATACTCCCATACACTTAAACCCCAGCAATAATGAAGAAGAATTGAGAAATTGTTAATTTTGTACACATATCTAACAAAAAAATAATAATAATACGAGCAACAATTTTGTTGTGTACAAATCATCTCCCAATAGTATTATTGACAACACCAAAGACTGTTGTGTACAAATCATCTCCCAATAGTATTATTGACAACACCAAAGACAAGGAGCAGTTCAAGCAACCTTTAATGAGCAAAGTCTGAAATGGCCACAACCAATGGATTCCATTAAACGATAAAACAGGTATAGATGTGGGGAATTTCAATGTGCATAAACAAAGTGGAAGGAAGGAAGGACATCAGATCCAACATATTGGTCACAAGTTTGACCACCCATTCTAACCACAGTAGTGATAACATATGGGAGCAGGAACAAACGTTGAGAAGTGAATCAACTGATGCATAAGGTCAACTTGGATATGGACCATGATATGGGAGCTAAGAAAACATGCCATACAACATGAATTGAAAACCCAATTCCATTTCAAATATAGAGTTTTTTTTTCAACAAATAAGATTCATTTCCATGATTACAACACCAAAATAGATTTGAGATTGAAACCATGGCCGACGTACTCTAGTGAGGACTTCGTCTTCTTTTTCCTCAAATGACTCTTGACATACAAATTTAAAAACAATAATAAAACTGCAAAGTTCAATACAAAATTAAACCCCCAATATTGTCCACAGGCAAGGACCATTCACATCAAGAGAAAATTTAGAGACTGAAGTAATGATTTTTTGAAGACCTGGACCATTTATGTAAATTTGTCAAACTATAATTAAACCACATCATAAAAAGACAAATTAGGTATCTAGAAGTAAATGTTTTAAAGTGAGGGCCTATTACTTTGATCACTAAAATAATGAGATTAATAGCTGGTGTGTCTGTACTTCATTGTTACAATCAGAAGGCACACAATTTATAATCTCTCCTTCCTTCCACCTTCCATTTGTCAAGTTCTTACCCCCTTTGCTTTCTCTCTACCAACCGTCTCTCTATATATAACTCGTATATGCATATAAACCTCCATAAATCTCCTTCCAATTAAAATCCCTTCTTTCTTCAAATTACACAAGGATTTCTGATCAACCATGGCCATATCTCCAAGAAAGCTTAGAAACGATGTGTATTCATACTCATACCAAAACGACTCTAACACCCCTCTGGTCATCTCAGTTCTTGCTTCTTTAATTGACAGAACTTTGGTTAGAAATGAAAGAATCGGTAGAAAGTGTGCAGGCATGGGTGCCAGTGTCACCATCACAAAGACTGGTTCCAAAACAAGGGTTTTTGATTGCCATGAGACACCGGACATGACGATACAGTCCTATCTTGAGAGGATTTTCCGGTACACCAAAGTCGGACCTTCGGTGTATGTCGTGGCATATGTGTATATTGATAGGTTCTGCCGATCACATCCAGAGTTTAGGATAACTGGCCGGAATGTCCACAGGCTTCTCATTACAACTATAATGGTGGCTTCTAAATATGTTGAAGACATGTAAGTTTTGGTTCTAAATTACAAAAACTCCATGTTTAATACAAAATTAATTGGCGATTGTTCTCACACTCATTCTCCTATATCAATGATTGCAGGAACTACAGAAACTCATATTTTGCAAGAGTTGGTGGGATAACAACAAAAGAAATGAACAGTCTCGAGCTTGATTTTTTATTCTTGATGAACTTCAAAATGCATGTAAATGTGAGTGTTTTCGAAAGCTATTGTTGCCATTTGGAGAGAGAAGTAAGCATCGGAGGTGGTTACCATATTGAAAAGACATTACGATGCGCGGAAGAGATTAAATCTCGACAAATAGAAGAGAGAGGATTTAATCGAATCGCACGAATTACTTTGTAAATTACATTTTTTTAAATGTTTACAATATTTTGGTAGTATATTATATATGTATAAAGGAACAAAGATTTGGTATTTATTTTGCTTGAAATAGAATTTACTTGAGAAATACTACAAAATTGATGTTCTTATTGGAAATCAATCTTGTGATTTCAATATTGATAATATACAAAGGGTGAACAACATTCCCTATATTTTTGGGATCACATATTGCTCCCACTCTTCGAGAGTGAGGTTAATGTGGAATTAGAACTAGCTTAAGAGTAAATTAAATTTATCGGCTAAAAAACTAATTATATAACAATGATAAGTATATAGCTCAAATTTCACGGTAATTTGAGTAGGAAACATCAGAACCCAAATTGTACAAAATTTTACATTTTCTTGAACAAAATGAATGTCAAATTTCATATACTTTTTACATTGATGATGGATTGGGTTTTGAGATAACTATACAAACAAGACATTGTCAAGATAGAATAGTATTGCCTTGTGTATGGGAATATAATGCTCAAGAAGGAAATTTCACACTTAACTAGTTTGACAATGACAATTGTAATAGTCGATATTCAACACAATGTCAGCTCAAGATATGCCAATTTATCTTTTAATATTGCATCCGATTAAAATACAATATTTGAATGTGGATCATTGATAATTTAGGCACACTCCTTAGTCAGTGTTAGTTTCAACATTATGCTTGTGGGAGGAGCTAGCGTGAGATGTAAGATGTAGTTTAATGTCCCTTTAACATATAAAAAATTATGTGTTAGAAACTGGAAATGTGGCTCATCTGGCACATACATAAATAGACAAACTTTTTGACCAAGATACTTAATGTCGAGTCTTGTAGACATAAGGTATTAAAACACACCGACCAAGCTACAATAAGAGAGTCGGTGAAAAGTCGACCGGAATTGGCACTAAGTTTAGCGCTTGTGTCAATAGGTGTGACAATGGGGTTGCATGAGGTCATATTTGTTCGGGACAAAAGTGTTGAAAAGAGTGTCCAATGTCAAAAGTGTTGAAAAGAGTGTCCAATGTCATTAACTATTTGTGATATTTCTAATAATAGCACAGTCCTTTTGGGTTGCCCTTAAAACTCAAATTGAGTAGAATAAATTAGTTTATTAATTATTATGGTTTAATAATTAATTAGAAACTAATTGGAAAACATTTTAGAAATTAATTAAAAAGCTTATTTAATTAAAATGGTTGAATGTTAATTACTTAATAGTTGGTTGACTGGAATATTCCAAAACCCTTAGGAAATTAAGGCTAGATGAAAATCACCTCATCTCACATGAGATGAGAGGTGAATTTCGAATTTGCGTCCTATCCCACATAGGATGAGAGACAAATCTATGGAAGGGTCCTAAACTATAAATAAGGCTCCTAGGGATCTCATCATTCCTTGAACATTCTCTTGACAAATTCGCCAACTCTCACATCCCTCTATAGTGGACAAATTCATCTCCCTCCTAGGGTTTGTGAATTTGACTCTCCTCTTAGTTAATCGTATTATGCTCTTTTGAGTTCATTGACTGTGAACCATGAGAGGGATTTTGGCTTGGATCCTTACATGCAAACAAGGTCGCACGTACAAGATATCAAGCTCGAAGGTCACTAACTGCAAAATAGGTATGTTGTTCTTCCTTCTTTATGTTTTCACAGGGTAGTAGTAATAACATGAAACTTAGATCCTTAGGTTGCATGAACACATACGATATTGTTTTGTTTCTACAGTCATGATCATGTGTTTAGATGCTTAGAAAACCTAATAGTGGTATCATAGCCTTAGTTCATGGTTACTTGTACTCTTAAATCCATATGATTTGATAATACTTGTTTATAATTGGAATAAAAAAATCAAAAATTATAAAACCAATAGTTGCATGGGGCGCGACCCGTCGGGATCTAGGTTTTTTGTGTTTCGTTTTAATTTATAACTTAAAGGTTTTTCAAATATGGATAACCACTTTATTTAAAATGTTTTAAATCTGGATTTTATTTTGGATAAATATCATTTAAATAAGAGATTTTAAATTTCAATATTTATTCTTATATTAATTTGGTATTATTTAAATAGTGATTTAAATTAGAATATTTGAAATTAATATTGTTTATAGTTATATTTTATGAACATCAATATTAATCAAACATTGATTGATAATATTGTCTCCTAGAAATTTAATTAGAATTAATAATTGACAATCAAATTTAAAGAGCTTTAAATATATATATATATATATATATATATATATATATATATATGTTAGAATAGTTAGAATAGTATCTGTTATATTTATAAGACATTTACGTCATGTGTCATTGCATGTTTAAATATTGACATTGTCAGTCTAATCATGATTAGGCTCACCTACTCCGATGTTGTAAGAGAGGTTTTAAGAGGTATCTTTGATTACTAATGAGGTCGTTTTTTAATAGATCTATAGTTTACCTTCCTTAGCGACTCTTTTCATTTTGAGAGTGATGTAGAACTCGTGAATCTCAAGTGTAAGTTGAGCCGAGGACCATGCATTTTTGCATGGTTGATTCACCAGCTGTTATATGATCCGCGACGAACCTGACATAGAGTTTGAGATGAGCATAATCTAAGATAAACATGTCATTGATAGTCAATGAATTTTAAAAGAATCTAGGAATTTCATAGTGGTTGAAATTTGCAAAGTGTATTGCCTAAATAAATAACTTTGTGGTGTGTTTATAGCGACCCTTTACACATCATGGAGCCAAATATGGATCCTAGATTTATTAAATATTTTTATTTAGGGTAATTATTTTTAAGGATTATTGTATTGAACTAACTAGAACCTCTCTTTTGTAGATGTCGATCCCGAACAACAATAATCTTCCTACTCCTCCTCCACCAACTCAAAACACTAACTTCTCGATCTTGTAAGTTCTGAGTAGGGAAAAGGTCAATGCAATTCGATCAAACTATTTAGATTGGTTCCGTACCTGGATGTTTACATTGTGGTATGAGAAAAAAGAGTATGTTCTCGACAATGATGTTGCCAAACTTTCAAAGGATGTTACTGAAGAAGAAGTTGTTGCATACAACAAACACTATAATTAACCGACCAAAGTGGTTTACCTCATGTTGGCTGCCATTGCCTCTTAGCTCCAAAAGAGATTTGAAAACCGGGGTGCCTATGACATGAACCAGCAACTTAAGGAAATGTTTCAAGAGAAAGCAAGGCAAGAACGATTTGAGATTGTTAAATCCCTCATGGCATTTAAGAAACAAGAGGGAGCTTCCGTATGTGCACACGTCTAAAAGATACAAAGAAAGATTAGGGAATCTAGGTGTCAAGCTACCAAAGGAGTTGACCATTGACATGGTTTTAAACTCAATTTGTAGTTCATATCAACAGTTCATTATGAACCACAATATGAACAATCGTGATAAGACCTTGATGGAGGTGCGTAGCATGCTTAAGACTGCTGAAGCAAGCATGATGAAACCTCCTATCTCAAACCCTACTGCTCCTATCTTGGCCATTGATCATGGTACTGCTAAAAGGAAAAGGGTTTCTCATCCCAAAGGAAATGGAAAGGGTAGGGTTGGATAGTCTGACCAAATCTATAAGAGAAAGGTCCAAACTGAAATAGTTCATATGACTGATCCAAATGAGGTTGTGTGCTTCTACTTCCAGAATAAGCGACATTAGAAAAGTAGTTGCCTTAAATACCCAGAGAATCTGAAGAAAGGCAAAGTCAAAGTGGTTGGTACCTCAGGTATATTTATAATTGAACTCCATAACACATCCACTTCTAATTTTTGGGTTCTTGATACAACATATGGTACTCATATTTGCTATGATATATAAGGACTAAAGCAAAGTAGGAATGTAACAGCCCACAAATTCAGATAAAAATTTTCATTTAATAATTAGAAATCTCATTCATATTTATTTTTTCCAAAATTCCATTACATAAACACATTGCTCAAAAATATCAGAGTATCCAAAACAACTAGTGCAGAAATACTGGAGAGTGTACACTGCGCCATCAAGCCGGGCCCTTGCCCTTAGAACTAGAAGTACCTGAAAACACCCTACAAAACTATAAGCACACGCTTGCTGAGTTTCCCAACATACACAAAACACATAACCACATAACTCCATGCACATATATACATAGATTTGCCATGGACTCCCTACATGGTATTCATCTGGAATGCCATGGGCTACCCCCATGGTCTTATATCCAAGGGCTATGGGCTCCCCCTCATTGTCTTACCAAGTGTCATGGGCTCCCTCCATGGTCTTCACATAAGTCAATACATATCAAATCACAAAACTATTGCATATTCAATTATTAAAATCTCATATCAAGTAATGGGTCGGCATTGGTGCCTTCGACCCATTGGTATAGTGAGAAGAATCACCTCAGTCTGCTGAAAACAATCACTGCTTAACTACCAGCTAAAGTCTCACACTGAAAAAATATACAAATACCCTAATTAGGATTATAACTCAACCTAATCAAAGGGCCCAGATTTCTAAGCCCAAGACCCTCCATAATGGACCAAAGGTCATTCCTTCACTAATGGGCCTAGCATCAATGTCCAATTCTATATTGGGCCATAATGCCCAATAGGCCTAAACATACCAACATTGGCCCAAAGATAACTTCAGGCCCAAACACCAGCAAGTCCAGGCCCAAATCCATAAGGGACCAAAGGTCCGAAGTCCGCCAACGCCCAAAGCACCCTGAGAGCGTACGTCCAACATACCTCTTCTGTACGCTTAGCGTACTGGGCTAAGGGTTGTACGTGCAGCGTACAACATAGTATGCCCAACGTACGACTGCTCATGTATAAAAGTCCATTAAGTTCTGAATACTTGAGATCTCAACGTCTAAATCCAGATCTGAGTCTATTAAGAAGTCCTAGGGCATAAAATTGGCAACTTTATGCCCTTGCATGTCACATGGGATCCCAATACTTCATTTTTGCCATTAAGAGCACTTTTAAGACCTTAAACTCATGCATGGTGTCAATACAACCTTCAAGATGTCATTTTTATGC